GATCTTAAAAGTGACTTTGGGTGACCAGGGAAGGGTCTGGGAAAAGGGTCTGGCTGAGAATTCCAATTGGAATGTCTAAGAGATTGAATAGACAATGGGAATAGATAATGAAAAAATGGAAGGCATCTGAATGAGATTGAAAAGGTGGGGCTAGGGCTTTCAAAGGGAGATAAGTGGAGTCAATAAGGGACCTAAAATGGGAGCCAGATTCTTTTTAGGGCAAGGGGCAAAGGAGCATCTGAATAAGATTAAAAGGTAAGGCTAAGGCTTTAAAAGGGAGATGAGGGGCAGGGGCCTGTAGACAAATGGGAGTCAGATTCCCTTTGGGTCAAGGGGCGGAAGACCTCAATTTGGGCCACACTCCATTATTACAACTAAACCACTCTTTAAAAGGGGCAGCTGGGTGGTGAAATGGATAGAGTGCTGGGCCTGGAGTCAGGAAGACTTCATTCCTGAGTTCAAATCCAGCCTCAGACACTAGCTGTATGACCTTGGGCAAGTCACTTAACCCTGTTTGCCTCAGTTTCCTCATCTGTAAAATGAACTGGACCACTCCATTATCCTTGCCAAGAAAACCCCAAATGGCATCATGAAGAGTTGGACATGACTGAAACAACAATTCTTTAAAAATACATACACACATAAAACCCAAAACTTATTTTTATTGATAATCTTTTGTTTTAACCGTGCTTTAATTTCCAGATAAATCCCTCCCCTTTCCCTACCCACTAAACCACCCTTTGTAATAGAGAAAAGAAAGAGAGGAAAGAGTAGTTCAGCCAAACCAAGAAGCACATTAACTACATCTGCCAGTGTATGTGATAGTAGCATCACAATGTAACAAGACATTGACAACTGACTGCCATCTTAAGATTTGTAGTTCACGGTGACAAGCGTTACCTCTCTCAGCTCCGAAGAGTGATTTGAGACTATCTTGCGCTTGTAGTGTGAAGAGGACTGAGTTTTGCTTCACAGCTATTAAAGAGACATACACAGTCCAGGAAAGACAGACTTTAGATGAAGTGGTATGGCTCTCCAGCATTGTAGAGGCCCCAGACTAAAGACAGGGTGTGGATGATTAAATCTAAGGGATTCTAGATTAAAGGTTTATAATTGATCACCTACCCTATGAACTGATAGCCATGCCCACCAGTGTTTCAGTAAGATCATAGAACAGATTCAGAGATATTGTGTCTTACCCAAGATCACTCCTCTTAGGTCTGCCACTTTTTCAAAGAAGAGTAGCTTGTTTTCTCAACCCTTTTCTGTGGTTAAGGCAAGCGATCTTTCTATTGTATTGCTCTGACCACATTATGCTTCTGTTCAAAAATTTATTAACCTTTAATTCTGGCATTCAGGGTCCCCTATAGCCTGTTTCTACCCTCATCTATTATTATTTCCTTCATGTACTCTATGTTCCAGCTCAACAGAACTATTCTTTGTTCCTTATTCTCATTCTGCCCTCTTCAATTTCTCTGCCTGTTTGCATATTGTAGTTATGAAAAAAAATCATTACTCCAAAGTTTGTTTTCCAGTCTTGAGGCTACATTATGAAAAGTATTAAATTCCATTTCAGATTTTTTTTCTCTTCCCTACTTATTTATTCTTTAAAAAACAAACAAGTAAATTAATTGAAGTTGTTATTGTTTGTCCTTCATTCTCAAAGAGGATCAATGACATCAGAAAGGTGATGTCTTGACTTGCAAGTGATTTGGATTTAAGTGAGTCAGGGCTATGCAAAATCACCAGCCTCACTCTCTCCTCAAAGCCATCTGGGTCCGGTGGCAAGATATAGATCCACATGACTGGAGATGGCCCAGGATACAGTGAGACATCTTGGTCTTTTTAAGCCAAGGTCGTTCCCAAGGTCTCAGTTTGTCTGAGGCAACACCCATTCAGTGATTAAGTCTAGGTAAGAAATGAGGCAAAAAAATGGCCTCTTTTTACCTACTCAAACCAAACCAAAAAAAAAAAACCTCAGGGTTTCTGGCCAGAACAAAATCAATTGCTATTTACTCTTTGAGCCATCAAAACCCAAACAATGACCAGTAAGTGGGGTTTGGCCTAGGGCCTATTGTTGGGCAATCAATGAGAACCAGAATGAATTGGGCTTAAGTCATGGTCTTCAAGGAAGAAATCAAGCCTATAAATCCAAAGATATCGTGTAAGGCTTCATCGATCAAAATTTACATTCAGGAGAGGCAAAGAGAGGGGAGGGGAAGGGAGGACAAGAGCTGTGTTGCACAACTGTAACTGGGAAGTTGGGTCCCCAGTAGGGCAGTCTGTACTACTCACCGGTTTATGTTTATCCTTCATTCTCAAAGAGGACCCGGAACTCACTTTCTCCTCCAAAGCCATCTGGGACTGAAGGCAATATATAAATCAGGAGGACTAGAGATGACCCCTGCTAGGTGCTAGGGATACAAAGAAAAGCTCACAATCTAATGGAGGAGAAAAAATGTGAACAGCTATGTACAAATAAGGTATAAACAGAATAAGTTGGAAATAACATAAGGAAGCCACTAGAATCAAGAGGGCTCAGGAAAGGCTTCTGCTAAAAGGCGAGATTTTATCAGCTTGCTATGAGCAATGAGACCCAGCTGCAGTTCCATGAAATGGCTCATTTAAATTCCAAGTTCCTTTTGCAAAGGCAAAAGGGGGGGGGGTATGAGTTACAATATTTAGAATACCCTAGAATACCCTTGAAAATTACCCTAAGAAAGTAAAATCTAAATCTCTGACCCTATGTTTTTCATTCCCTGGCACTGCTCTGGACTGCGTGGAGATGAGTTGCAATCATATTTATGGATACACTGACCATGTTCTTGACAACTTCTCTCCTACTAGCTAATCCATTTGGCCAATCACCAGGCCTTCTTACCATTTTAGTGGGTTCCATGCTTCTCTTTTGAATTTTAACATATTCCTTAGAATGCAGTTGCCTAACTTCTAGCATGTTTTTTTTGTGTAAGCTGTCAGGATGCAAAGGTGAGGAGGGAAAGAATTCCAGGCAAAGGGACAGACAATGAAAAGTGCCCATAATTAGGAGATGAAGTATCTTGTTTGAGGAATAGTAAGGAGGCCAGTGTCACTGGAAAGAAGAGTATGTGTATGGAGAGCAGGGTGTAAGGTATAAGAAGACTGGAGAGGTATGAGTGGGCCAGGTCACGAAAGTCTCTGAAAACCAAATAGGTTTGATATTTGATCCTGGAGGTGAAGGTAGCCACTGGAATTTACTGAAAAAGGGAGGTAATCTATGGTTGGCAGATGAATTGAAAATGGACTGCAGTAGGGAAGGACCTGAGCCAGGGAAACTTACCCAGCAGGTTATTTCCATAGTCCAGGTGTGGGGTGAAAAAGGCCTAAAGGAGGGTTGGGACAGTGTCAGAGGAGAGAGGGGTACATAAGTGAGAGATATAAAGAAGGTCAAACTGACAGGACTTGGCAACACAATGGATATGGGGGTGGGGGGCGGGAAAGAGTTATTAGAGAAACTGTGGAGTGGAGGATGACACCTAGATTGTGAAACTAGGTGACTAAAAGCATGGTAGTACCTTCAATAATAACAGGGAAGTTAGGAAGGTGGGCTTGGCAGTAAGCTAATGAGTTCAGTATTGGATAAATCAAATTCAAGATGTCTAGACCTGAGTTCAAATCCAGCCTCAGACCAAACACTTGACACTTACTAGCTGTGTGTCCCTGGGCAAGTCACTTAACCCCAACTGCCTAAAAAAAAAAAAAGATGTCTATAAGATATCCAGTTCTAGATGTTCAAAAGGCAATTGGATATATAAGATTAGAAGTAATGAAAGAGGTTGAGGCTGGACAAATCCAAAAATCATCTGCATAGAGATGATAATTAAATCTACGGGAACTGATAAGATTACCAAGTGAAAGAGTATAGAGGGATAACAGAAGAAGGCACAGCACAGAATCTAGGGGGACACACAGTTAGTGGGCACAATCTGAGTGAAGATCCAGCAAAGGAGAATGATAAGAGCAGTCCAACAGGTAGGAGGAGAACCAGGCGAGAGCAGTGTCATGAAAACCTAGAGACAATTTAAAGGAGAAGAAAGTGATTGACAGTGTAAAAGGCTGTAGAAGAAGAATTGAGAAAAATTGTCAAGAAGGAGGAGAACTAAGAAAAGGCCATCAGATTTGGCAATTTAAGAGACCACTGGTAATTTTGGAGAAAACAGTTTAGTCATTAAAGGGGGGAGAACTAGGAGAAAGCAGTATCATGAAAACATAGAGACAAGACAACCTAGAGACAAGATAATATAAAGGAGAAAAGAGTGAATACCTAGTGGAAATGTATGTATTTAGGTGAACATTTTTTTGAGGATGAGTAGACATGGGAGAGTTTGTAGTTAGTAGAGAAAAGGCAGGAAGAGACTGAAGTTAAATGAGAGAGTAAGGATGCTGGAGGAGGCACTGCTGAAAAAGAAGGAATGGAATGGGATCACCTGGGCGATAGTAGTAGGATAGAAGATAGTAGTAGAATTCATCTCTGAGTGATGTGAAATGAGGGGGAGGAGAAAAGAGGGAACATTTGGCAAATGGCCTCAATTTCTTTAGTGAAATATGAGGCAAAATTCTTAGCTGAGAGAATGGGGGCCTCAAACCATGCAAGACTTGAGGAGGGATGAAAAGATTTAGAGAAGTCACTGAGGGGAGTGGAATATACACAATGCTATTTCTACATTCTCAACTACCCCAAATTTGGTATAATTTTATATAGGCAGAATTAAACTTCATACAATCAACTTCATCTTCAGATATTTCTTAGGAACTATTAACTAATGTAATAATCAAATGCAAAATATCATACATAGATTTTAACAGTAAGCTGAATAATGAAGAGACCACTGACAGTCATTTTTTTATAACTGCAAACAATAAAACACACAATTAAAATCACTAGTTATTAGTATTTATTAAAAATTAGAACTGTTATTTAGCATGGTAGCTGATTGTTTTCTTTTCTTTTTTTTTTTTAGGCAGTCATAAATAGCAGTCGTGTACTAAGGTGCCAGTACTCATACGCAAGCAACAATTAGGGAAAGCCTAAATAAGTTTATCCTAAACATATTTTAGGATGTTAATGCCACAGAATACTCATAGAGTCTCAGGATTCAGAGCTTTCCTGGAAGAAACTTAGAGATTATCTAGTCCAACTCTTCACTTTATAGATAAAACAACCGAAACCCAAAGGAATAAAGTGACTTACATACCTAAGGTAATCACAGATAATAAGTAGCAGAAATGGTATTTGAACCCAGGTCCTCTGAATATGAATCTAGTGTTCTTTCCACTGTACTGTGTTTTAGATCTGTTGTAAAAATGGAAAAAAAAATACAGAGAATGCAAAGCAATATGGAAAAGTTCATAAATAAGATGTGACACAAAGCAAACACAAGATTCAGAACATGCACATTGACTAAGACTGTATTAAAATAGACCCCTATTAGTATCCAGATGCAAAAGAGATGCTCATGGTATAGAAAGCAAAAAAAAATTATTTTTTGACCAAAGTTTTACATATATATATATAGAGAGAGAGAGAGAGAGATTATTTTACCAAAATATAGTTTATATTTTGTTTTGACTTGGGACTCTATTCTTCATTCTGTTTATTTGTTGTATTTGTTGATTGCAATTAAGGTTATAATATAAAAAACATGATTGAAAAACAACGCATTGAAAAATGCACAGTACATTTTCACAGAAGTGTTCTACCCCTCAACTTCAGGACCAAACACCAGACTATTCCTGGAATAGTTTGAAGGGCAGCTTGCTATGAGCAATGAGACCCAGCTGCAGTTCCATGAAATGGCTCATTTAAATTCCAAGTTCCTTTTGCAAAGGCAAAAGGGGGAGAGGTATGACTCACAATATTTAGAATACCCTAGAATACCCTTGAAAATTACCCTAAGAAAGTAAAATCTAAATCTCTGACCCTATGTTTTTCATTCCCTGGCACTGCTCTGGGCTGCGTGGAGATGAGTTGCAATCATATTTATGGATATACTGACCATGTTCTTGACAACTTCTCTCCTACTAGCTAATCCATTTGGCCAATCACCAGGCCTTCTTACCATTTTAGTGGGTTCCATGCTTCTCTTTTGAATTTTAACATATTCCTTAGAATGCAGTTGCCTAACTTCTAGCATGTTTTTTTGTGTAAGATAAAAATCAAGAATGGAAACATGCTTAGATAAGCACACCTAGGTAGGCAACTTAATCACACATAGGAAGCTTCCAAGGAACCTTAGCTAAGAATGAAAACTAAACCTTGGAGAAGTGAAGTGAGCATCCCAGGATCACCCAACTATAAAGTTCCAGAAAATGGGATTCGAATCCAGGTTTCACTTGTGATACACATTGATTTACAATTCTGCTCCAAAATCATAGAATTTAGAGCTAAAGGGACAATTAGGAATCATATCCAGTTCAACTCTTGACAGATGAAGAAATGGAGATCCAGGGAGATGAGATAAGGTTCATAGGTAAAAAGCAGCAGAGGCCGCATACAAGGCACTTTACATTACATTAAATTGTCAATTTGGTTTCAATAGTATTGTCAGGATCTCCATGCCAGAATCATCCCTCTCTTTTCACTCCTCTCTTTTTACTATTAGTAGACACCCTCTTTTCCAGAGCTAAGGCCAAGCAAGAAAGCTGTCCCCTGGGCTTGGCGTAACAACAATTCTTCGAGCTTACCTTCAGGATGAACTCTGCTGTAGCTAAAGCACAGAATTGGATCAAGCCAGCCCCAGGTGGTTCCTGAGCTTGGACAAGCACCTGTAGGAACTACTTTCCAGTCATGAAACCTGCTATGAATAGACTTTTTTTTCCCACTAGGCAAACTTGCCTCATTATTGCTGTTACCCCTCACCGCCTGGCTCTTTGTCTAGCCACAACTATATGTATCAAGATTTAGCCTCAGTGCCTAGAGGCATACATTGCTAATATTTCTCCTTCATTGAAATAAAAAAGGCTTTTTGCCTTAACTTCTGTGAGCTCTTTGGTTTTATTTTCTTTTTCAGAGTTAATGGTTGGTATGGCATCTGTGGCTCTTTGGCCATTTATTTTCAGAGTTTGACAGTGTCTATCATTATCAAATCAACAGCAAGCAGTTACTAAGTGCCTACCATCTACCAGGCACTGTGCTAAGTGCTGGGGATAAAAAGAAAGGCAAAAAAACAGCCACTATTCTCTATGGGAGAAAATATAGAGATGGCTATGTACAGACAAGGCATATACAGGATAAGTTAGAGATAATTTCAGAGGGAAGGTACTAAAATTAAGGCAGCCTGGGAAAATCTTCTTGCATAAATAGGACTTTAGCTGAGATTTGAAGGAAGCTAAGTAGGCTAGGAGGAGGAGGAGAAGAGGAGGGAGAGAGAGTTCTAGGCAAAAGGGACAGCCAAGGAAAACGTGTTATATTCTGTCTTTCAGAGAACTAACTTGAATGGCACGGTTTGACTAGATCATCTTTACTGATCTTTGTTAAAATATCCTAAAAATATAAAATATAATTGTTAGGTTTTTCTCAGACTTAAATCATATCCATGCCAATCTCTTTAAATTTACCTTTCCACATCATTCGGTATAAGCCTATGTTATTAAGCAGTTCCTGAGGCAATTTTGTTCTCTAATTTATTTGCTGATTGATGAGACATTTTGTCAGATTTAAACTTGAGGGGAAATGGAAGTCAAACAAATATGTTTTTCTTTAGGGTCAAACTATCACCACAGAACAGGTTGGACAAATTTCTTTAAAACAAAAGGCAGACTCCTGAGTTGGCAGTAGGCAACTGGTATCTCCTCATCTCTGAAATGTAGGAAAGACACAACTTAACCCAGAGGCCACTAGGCAAGTGACCAATTGCCTTGTGGACTAATTTAGACCAACAAGGTCCTATTCAATCAATCAATAAACATTTATTAAGCACCTATTATATGCCAGGCACTAGGCTAAATTCTCAGGATACAGTCCCTGTCCTCAGGGAGCTTACAACTGAATGGGGAAGACAACATGCAAACAAATGTAATCAAAGCAAGCTATGTACAGGATAAAAAGGAAATAACAGAGGGAAGGCATTGGAATTATGACGGGTTAAGGAAGGCTTCCTATAGAAAGTAGGATTTTAATTAGGACATAAAGGAAGCCAAGGAGGTCAGTAATCAAAGCAGCGGAGGGAGCATTCCAGGCATGAAGGACAGCCAGAGAAAGTGCCTAGAGCACAGAGGTGGAATGTCATTTTTGTGGAACAGCCAGGAAGCCAGTGTCCTGGGTTAAAGAGGAGGGTGGAGGAATAGGATAAAAGAAGACTGGAAAGGTAGGAGGGGGCTAGGTAATGAAGGGATTTGAAGGCCAAACAGAGCATTTTGTATCTGCTTCTGGAGGCAATAGGAAGCCACAGGAGTTTGTTGAGTACAGGGGTGACGTTATAGAGTCTATGTTTTAGGAAAATCACTTCAGTGACTAAATGAAAGATGGATTGGAGTGGGGAGAGACTTGAAGCTGGCAGACCTACCAACCAGCTATTGCAATAATCCAGGTATAAAGTGATGCACTAGAGTAGTGGCAATGTCAGAGCAGAAAAAATGGGATATTTGAGAGATATTGCAGTTGTGAAATCAACAGATTGGCTATGGGGGATGGGAGTGGTAAGGAATCCAGGATGACTCCTAGGTGGCAAGCCTGAAGGATTAGAAGGATGGTATTATTTTCTACAGTAATAGGAAAATTAGGAAGGGGAGAGGCTTTAGAAGGAAGAATAATGCATTTTATTTTATGTACATTGAGTTCAAGACGTCTACTGGATATTCAGTCTCAGATGTCTGAAACACAGAGATACAAGAATAGAGGTCAGCAGAGAAATTGGGGCAGGATAGGTAGATTTGAGACTCATCAGCATAGAGATGGTAATTAACTCCATGAGGGCTGATGAGATCACCCAGTGAAGTAGTATAGAAGGAGAAGAGAATAGGGCCCAGCACAGAACTCTGGGGGACAACGACAGTTAGAGGAGGAGGGTCCAACAATGAAGAGAGAGAAAAAGTGGTCAGATAGGTAGGAGGAAAACCAGAAGATAGTAATATCTTGAAAAACTGGAGAGAAAAGATTATTAAGGAGGAAAAGGCGATCAGCAATTGTCAAAGGCTGCAGAGAGGTCAAGGAGGATAAGGACAGAAAAGGCTTTGTCAACTAAGAGATCATTAGTAACTTTGGAAAGAGCAGTATTCCAAGTCCACGCTCAGTTAAAGAGCTAGTTTTCTTACATTTGGGCTGTTAGGTAAAATTTTTAACATCTAAGAATGAAAATATTGGAGTAGAGCTGGGAAATGCTGGAAAAATTATAATGCCTCATGGACCATACAACATATGTGACTTCTCAGAGTCAATGCCCACTCCCATCATTCTGGACACATTAAAGATAAACAAATGTGTACTTACTATTCATCTTGCACTATAAGAGGTGCTGTGGGACATACAAAAGAAAAGATGTAGAATATCTGGCCACAAAAAGCTTTCAATCTAATTTCATTAAGTTAGGTAAGCTTATGTGTATGTGCTCAAGAACCTGGTTCCTTGACATATACATAGACGTAACTCTTTCTCTCACACAGTGGAGAAAGCACTGTATCTAAAGTTAAAGTACATGAGTTTAAATCCTGACTGTTTATTCAGTAGCTGTGACCTTGGGCAAATTACAGCCTCTCTTAAGATCCCCAGTTTAATAAAGTCCAAGTCAACTAAATCCAGTTGAGACCAGTTTAATCTAGGTCCAACTTGTTTAAACCAATTTAACCCAGTTTTAAAAAGTTTAATTCAGTGCAAACCAGTTCAAACCAATTTAATCCAGTGAAAAGTAGTTTTAAAAATAGTTCAAACAGTGATAAATTCAAATCAGTTTAATCAAGTGCAAACTAGTTCAAACCAATTTGAACCAATTCAATTCAGTTTAAACCAGTATATACCAGTTTAAACCAGTTCAAAGCAGTATAAAACAGTGAAAACCAACATAAACTAGTTCAATTAAGTATAAATCAGTTCAAACCAGGTTAATCATCATAAAACTGTTCAAACCAGTTTAAACCAGAATTAGCCAGTTCAAACAGCAGTATAAACCAGTTCAAACAAATATAAACCAGTTAATACTTGTTTGAATTGGATGAAAGTAGTTTTCAAAACAGAGCGGATAGAGCTCAAGGCTCTATGGAGATCAACCAAATGCCAATAATCAGCGAGGGTACGGCCAAGACATTCCAGGAAGAGAGTAGATGTTCCTACTGCTTTACTCCAAACAGTGCACTGTGTACTACTTTTTCCCAGTCTTACAATGTCCTCATTCTGCTATGGTGCCATTTTCTCTTGGCTTACAACTATCCTCTCCTGTCCAGCAGGTATATAACAGTCTTATGTTTCTATGTGGAAATTTCCCAGCCATCAGGGATCTGGTATTGACTATAAGAGTTACAAAACACCATAGTATTATGAAATGGAAAAGGCCACAATTGAGGATGTTATTTAAAAACTCAAAAATCATCCCAAATAAAAGGTTCAGCTTATGAAGAAAATAGAATGTAACTATGAAACAGCTATGTCAGTCAATCAATAAGCATTTATTAAGTGCCACTATGTTATGCACTGGGGATACAAAGAAAGCCAAACTGTCCCTATCTCGAGACTCTTACAGTCTAATGGGAGAAACAACTTATAATAATTTCTAAATATAAGAGAAAGCCAATGAGATTAATGACCATTAATAATCATAAGAGGCAGAGTTGCACAGTGGACATAGAGCTGGCCTTAGAACCAGGAGGACCTGGGTTCAAGTCTTGCCTCTGGTAAATATAGGCTGTACTGGCTGTGTGACCCTGGGTAAGACATTTACCACTCAGGCAGCTCTCCAAGAATTCAGGTTGCAGAGATGTTACCAAAGTGCATAGGTAGGAGGGAGTATCTTCATTTGGAAACTCCCCATACTAATGAAATCACAGGTCCAGTCCCTGTCCCTATCCTAATAGGATCATAGTTTTTTGTTTGTTTGTATGTTTTTCGTTTTCCCAAATCCTGTGGCAATTTAAAATTACAAGTGACCCAAAGGATGATAGAAAGATGAATGATGAAATTTTAGCACTTTCTCAGCAATGACAAATATCAAAGGTGTTATCAAAGATGTCTCTGAGGAAATGTATGACCAGAAAGGGAATTGGGACATGACTGTAGTGAGAGCAATGGATAATAGACAGATAGCTAAAGCACAGCACTGATATCCAGGAAATACTCAAGGAACCAGAGGAAAGCTTCTAGTACATTGAATGGATTTTCTTTGGAAGCTTTACTAAGTCATAGACAAGAATGGCACAGGATGAGGTGGGTCAGGATGTGCCCTGGTGAAAAGAAGATCAACATGAAGGAGATAATTGAATCATCAAATTATCAGAGTAAGGATTTAGAACTGTAAGGAACCTTAGTGCTCATTTAGTCCAACATCCTCATTTTACAGACAAGGAAACCGGGCAGGGGGAGGTAGGTGTCCAGAGAAGTAAAATTATTCATCCAAAGTGATACAATTAGTAATAGAAGAGCTGGAATTTAAACTGAGGTCCAAATCCAGCGTCATCTTTGCTCAGTCAATGCTATCTAATTGATCCCACATATGAAGCAAAAATTCTCATTTAGCAAATGGTCCGTGTAGATTATTTCCTTGGCTATGGGACAAGTATTTTTTCCCCTAAGGGTTCCAATACTTGACTTAAAAGCAAAATCTAATTCAATCTTCTATTTTGTGTTCTAAGCAACCAATATTAAAATAGGTTAAAGTTTTCTGAGCGGAGTTTGAGTCAAAGGTCTTCTATCTGAAGGTTTTATGGATAAGACAGGGCAAGAAAACTCACTCTCCT